CCTAAACCCAGCAGGAGAAGAGAAATCATAAAGATCAGAGCAGAAATCAATGAAATAGAAACCAAAAAAACAATAGAACAAATCAACGAAACTAGGAGCTGGTTGTTGGAAAAAATTAATAAGATCGATAAACCCCTGGCCAGACTTATCAAAAAGAAAAGAGAAAGGACCCAAATAAATAAAATCATGAATGAAAGAGGAGAGATCACAACTAACACCAAAGAAATACAGACAATTATAAGAACATACTATGAGCAACTCTACGCCAACAAATTTGACAATCTGGAAGAAATGGATGCATTCCTAGAGACATATAAACTACCACAACTCAACCAGGAACAAATAGAAAGCCTCAACAGACCCATAACCAGTAAGGAGATTGAAACAGTCATCAAAAATCTCCAAACAAACAAAAGCCCAGGGCCAGACGGCTTCCCGGGGGGAATTCTACCAAACATTTAAAGAAGAACTAATTCCTATTCTCCTGAAACTGTTCCAAAAAATAGAAATGGAAGGAAAACTTCCAAACTCATTTTATGAGGCCAGCATCACCTTGATCCCAAAACCAGACAAGGATCCCATCAAAAAAGAGAACTACAGACCAATATCCTTGATGAACACAGATGCAAAAATTCTCACCAAAATACTAGCCAATAGGATTCAACAGTACATTAAAAGGATTATTCACCACGACCAAGTGGGATTTATTCCAGGGCTGCAAGGTTGGTTCAACATCCACAAATCAATCAATGTGATACAACACATTAATAAAAGAAAGAACAAGAACCATATGATACTCTCCATAGATGCTGAAAAAGCATTTGACAAAGTACAGCATCCCTTCCTGATCAAAACTCTTCAAAGTGTAGGGATAGAGGGCACATACCTCAATATTATCAAAGCCATCTATGAAAAACCCACCGCAAATATCATTCTCAATGGAGAAAAACTGAAAGCTTTTCCGCTAAGGTCGGGAACACGGCAGGGATGTCCGTTATCACCACTGCTATTCAACATAGTACTAGAAGTCCTAGCCTCAGCAATCAGACAACAAAAGGAAATTAAAGGCATCCAAATCGGCAAAGAAGAAGTCAAACTATCACTCTTCGCAGATGATATGATACTATATGTGGAAAACCCAAAAGACTCCACTCCAAAACTGCTAGAACTTGTACAGGAATTCAGTAAAGTGTCAGGATATAAAATCAATGCACAGAAATCAGTTGCATTTGTCTACACCAACAACAAGACAGAAGAAAGAGAAATTAAGGAGTCAATCCCATTTACAATTGCACCCAAAACTATAAGATACCTAGGAATAAACCTAACCAAAGAGACTAAGAATCTATACACAGAAAACTATAAAGTACTCATGAAAGAAATTGAGGAAGACACAAAGAAATGGAAAAATGTTCCATGCTCTTGGATTGGAAGAATAAATATTGTGAAAATGTCTATGCTACCTAAAGCAATCTACACATTTAATGCAATTCCTATCAAAGTACCATCCATTTTTTTCAAAGGAATGGAACAAATAATCCTGAAATTTATATGGAACCAGAAAAGACCTCGAATAGCCAAAGGAATATTGAAAAAGAAAGCCAAAGTCGGTGGCATCACAATTCCGGACTTCAAGCTCTATTACAAAGCTGTCATCATCAAGACAGCGTGGTAGTGTCACAAAAACAGACACATAGATCAATGGAACAGAATAGAGAGCCCAGAAATAGACCCTCAACTCTATGGTCAATTAATCTTCGACAAAGCAGGAAAGAATGTCCAATGGAAAAAAGACAGCCTCTTCAATAAATGGTGTTGGGAAAATTGGACAGCCACATGCAGAAAAGTGAAATTGGATCATTTCCTTACACCACACACCAAAATAGACTCAAAATGGATGAAGGACCTCAATGTGAGAAAGGAATCCATCAAAATCCTTGAGGAGAACACAGGCAGCAACCTCTTCGACCTCAGCCGCAGCAACATCTTCCTAGGAACATTGCCAAAGGCAACGGAAGCAAGGGCAAAAATGAACTATTGGGATTTCATCAAGATCAAAAGCTTTTGCACCGCAAAGGAAACAGTTAACAAAACCAAAAGACAACTGACAGAATGGGAGAAGATATTTGCAAAAGACATATCAGATAAAGGGCTAGTGTCCAAAATCTATAAAGAACTTAGCAAACTCAACACCCAAAGAACAAATAATCCAATCAAGAAATGGGCAGAAGACATGAACAGACATTTCTGCAAAGAAGACATCCAGATGGCCAGCAGACACATGAAAAAGTGCTCCATATCACTCAGCATCAGGGAAATACAAATCAAAACCACAATGAGATATCACCTCACACCAGTCAGAATGGCTAAAATTAACAAGTCAGGAAATGACAGATGCTGGTGAGGATGTGGAGAAAGGGAAACCCTCCTACACTGTTGGTGGGGATGCAAGCTGGTGCAACCACTCTGGAAAACAGCATGGAGGTTCCTCAAAATGTTGAAAATAGAACTACCCTATGACCCAGCAATTGCACTGCTGGGTATTTACCCTAAAGATACAAACGTAGTCATCCGAAGGGGCACGTGCACCCGAATGTTTATAGCAGCAATGTCTACAATAGCTAAACTATGGAACGAACCTAGATGTCCATCAACAGACGAATGGATAAAAAAGATGTGGTATATATACACAATGGAATACTATGCAGCCATCAAAAGAAATGAAATCTTGCCATTTGTGACGACGTGGATGGAACTAGAGGGTATCATGCTTAGCGAAATAAGTCAATCGGAGAAAGACAACTATCATATGATCTCCCTGATATGAGGGAGAGGAGATGCAACATGGGGGGTTAGGGGGTAGGAGAAGAGTAAATGAAACAAGATGGGATTGGGAGGGAGACAAACCCTAAGTGACTCTTAATCTCACAAAACAAACTGAGGGTTGATGGGGGTGAGGGGGGTTGGGGGGGTGGGGTTGTGGACATTGGGGAGGGTGTGTGCTATGGTGAGTGCTGTGAAGTGTGTAAACCTGGTGATTCACACACCTGTACCCCTGGGGATAAAAATATATTATATGTTTACTAAAAATAAAATTAAAAAAAATACAAAAAAAAAAAAAAGCAACTCACTTTTAAGATTTTAATGATGTTGCACCTGGTTCTATGTTTATGTTGGTTAAAAAAAAAAAAAAACCCTCAAGACAGACTGAAAACAGCTAACATTCAGCTTCTAATGTTCATGATTCTTGGATGAACACCCAAAACTAATACTTAAAAGTATACTTTTATATCTTTGAATTTAAAACATTCACAACAGAAACAAAAACACATTTCATCAAGGAAGAGAGACACACAAATGAAGAGATGTAGACCAGTGCTTCTCAAACTTTCTGTACTGAAGAAGCACATTTTCTTTTTTTTTTTAATTTCCAGTATGCACAGACCAATATTTTTGTGAAGTACAATAACAGTGAATTACTAGGACAATTAAATTTAAAGTGATACACCAAATATATACTCAAATTTTTTACTATTAGATTCAGCAGGCATAAATTTACTGTGTCGTGGTGCTTTCAGAGTTTCCAAACATTGTTCTCAACCGTCACGGCTTCTGTAACTTATCTGGTGGACCAGTAACAGTTTCGGAGCAGCACCACACAGACCACACTTGTTGGGAGCAAGTGGTCACAGTGCACCCCAAAAATCAGATACATAGAGCTCATCCATTCTTTCTCCCATTGTATTTGCATCAACTTTCCCCTCTTTGCATACATAATCTGCACACATTATAATAAAAGTCATAAGGCTTTCATGATTTTGAAAACTATTCAGAACATACCTCCATGAGCCCAGACTGACCAAACCGAAGTTTAACGAAGGAGTTCTCTAGAATTATATCTTCGTCAGTACTTTTTACATTCTTCATGTTGAAAATTCCTTTATCTTTGATGTTACCATTATGCAGGACATACTCAGTTAAATGTGGGTCTGAACTTGCTGATTCCAAAATTGTATACACTTTCAGTCCGAGTGGTGGTATCTGCACTAGGAAAGAGATCTTTAAAAGAGAGATGAGAGTTTTTTAAAGAGAAATATAATCTACTCAGAGAAAAGCACTTATACATCTAGTAAAAACAAAAACAAATTGGAAGGGGAGGTGAACCATGAGAGACTATGGACTCTGAAAAACAATCTGAGGGTTTTGAAGGGGCAGGGGGTGGGAGGTTAGGGGAACCAGGTGGTGGGTATTAGAGAGGGCACGGATTGCATGGAGCACTGGGTGTGGTGCAAAAAACAATGAATACTGTTATGCTGAAAAGAAAAGAAAAAAAAAGACTGTTAAAAACAAAACAAAACAAAAAAAACCAAACAAAAAAACCCCCAAAACAAACAAACAAAAAACCACTGTATTTTAAAGAGTACTCTACTATAAAGATGTTTTGAGAATTTATGGGTAGACTATCTAACATTTCCATTTATCCAGGAAATCTAATGCCTGGGTCCAGCAGACAAGGCACAAAGCACAGAGGATGCACCCACGGTTGTGCGTGACCTCTACCTTCTAGGAGCTGCTCCTCCTCCCTTTTCTAGACAGGCCGTCTCCTACAACATCTGACCCAAACTTCTATTATTCGTTTCCTTTCTAACTAGGGGACTGTGAATTTATGAAAGCAGCCAGAAATGGCTTTTTTAAAAATCTTTTTAATCAACATATAATGTATTATTAGCCCCAGGGGTACAGGTCTGTGAATCGCCAGGTTTACACACTTCACAGCACTCACCATAGCGCATACCCTTCCCAATGTCCATAACCCCACCACCCCAGAAATGGCTTTTAACAAGCAAAGTAATTCTCATTTAGAGTTCCTAGCTTATGGTTCTGCCTTCAGAAGTACAGTTTAACTTGCACTCGAGACTCTAAAAATTCAACTTTTCTAGTGACACAGGGGTCTAGTTTAATATTACTTTAAGAAAACCACCTATTACTTCAGGCTTGGTTTTCCACAGTTGTATCTCAGGAAAAAAGCACCTTCCTATATGTTAGGAAGTCTTTCCTTTATGGTATGTCACATCATCTTTGCAGTGAAAAGCTGAAAATAACTGAAATTACTTAGAAAAGGTGTTATTCGTCCCAAATTCAATGTGCATAATTTTTACTAAATTGAGTTAAAAAATTCAAAATATTATAAGTAATGATGACTTTATTACTTCAGGAAAGAGTTCCAATACTTGCAAAGATATGGAATATACATGCTAATAACATACTAGTAATAATATATGATACATCTACTAACAATGATATCAGTATTCTAGGAAACACAGGATCTCTTTTCCTTTAGTGTCATATAACTGGTTAGTTAAATCCTCTGGTATCCACAACTTGAACCACTTCACATATGCCAATCTGACAGCTCAAGAGGGGCATGGCTACATATATAAACTACATACTTGCTATGCTTTTTTAATGATGCCTCTTTAAGTTCTAGGGCAAAAACCTACCTCATAGGCTGTCTGTGAAATAGTACTTGCTGTATTCCAAACTGCACTCATCTGAATTTCCACAGGCTTTCCAGAAGCAGAAGACACTTGTGCTGTGGGGGAACTCACATACACGGAGACCACTGAGATTCGTTCTTGTTCTGAAGGGTTACACACCACAAGATACCTGCAAAAACAGCTGCTTCACTATTTAGGTCTTAAAAAAAAATTTCTACTTTTTTTATACTATGTGTAAGGACTCAGCTCATAGATAGTCATAGAGTCAACACATGAAGAGAACTTATAAGGAACATTCTGGTACAATTTTTGGAGAACATACAATTTCATCACAAATAACACACAGTACAAAGGGTAATGAAATAATGATTCACTTTCTAAGAATAAAATGTTATACATACAAATAAGAGACATTAATAGAACTATAATAAAGTTATTTCCATGGCCCAGAAAATGACCTATATAACACATGGTTTTATTAGCCTTTCTAAAACAATCAGCTTGATAAAACTAATTTCTTGGTCCCTGCCTAAGGTCGCTGAGTAAGAAAACACATGCATTGCCTATTTGTACTTCAGCCACAATTAATTTCAGTTAAAATCCTGACATTCATTTCAGACCACTAAAAGACAACAAAAAAGTATGGCTATCCACACAGAGTCACACATATATATATTTTATATATATGGGGTCCTTATTCCCCAAGAGAGCTGGTTCTGGAAAAAAGATGATTTGAAGTAACTTCACTTAAAAAGGGGGTTAAAATGGTAAAAAAGATTTGATTGGGCCTAGCTAAGAAAAGGACAACACAAACCAGCAGAATAAGTTTAGACAATATTTAAAACTACGGGCAATTCTTAGAATGAACAAAAAATGAATGGAGTTTCTGGCAGACTTTTTCCAACAATATTTTATATTAGCACACTATGACATTCTTCACACATTTAATTTTTATAGAATGATTTTAAACATAACTACATTTGTAAAAAATATTCAAGGACTTCATCATTTTTCCTGAAGTCCTCTCTTACTTTCTTTGATAGTCAAAGAATTCTTAGTTGGAGATCCTCATGGTTTCAAGACTTTGCCTGTGAGCAGAAATGTTCTAGACCATCATATCGCAGACTTCATGAAATACACAGTCTTTGAAAGATTTATGATTTTACTTTATGATCAATTTTAATCATATTATCTTCAAATAAATCAAAAGATATTTATTTCAAAGAGGAAGTTTGAATAATATAATTCACTGATTCATTACTGAATATTTTCTTGATTGAAATATTTTGGTTTCCTATACAAATTTGTAACTGCAGGAACACAGAACTGAATAGTCCGATAGCAACCCCATCTCCCCCTGACCCCCTGACCCACAGTGGCTACGTCAGAGATGGCAGACACAAGCTAGCATTGCGTGCTTAGTGCATTAGAAAGCTTTGTTGTGCTCTTTTATGTATGTTCTGTGTATTTCAATTGCATTGCAAATTGAGTAAGAAATAAAATTGATACCTGCCATGGTCAAAACGAAAGTGAAGGACAACAGGAAAACATAAAAGAAAAGAAAGAGGACATAGCATAAAATCTATAAAATGTCTGACTTATCAGTGGCTTATCGGGAGAAGCTCTTATGATAGAAATATTATTCTGAGATATCAAAAGCAACAACACAGCAATAAAAATGTCCCGAACTCCTAATGACTTATAGTATGCATCAGGATCACACAACCTAACTTACATCACTTCTATTCACCAAGATTCCAGAGGTGTACGAGAGAAGAGTGGCCAAAGCCATGCAGTCAAAAACATATTTACAAAGGACACTGAAGCCTTGATGTACTAGGCAAAACCCTATTTTATCCACAGAAGCAATTCAAAAGGATAGTGAGGGCAATGCTTAACAGACTTACCTGAAGGGTCTGCCAACCTACTAGCACCCTCCCACTGCCCTCTATCAGAGCTTACGTTTCACCTGACTTGTCCTGTCACAAACCCACCTTGAGAATCTCAACTGCCAGGATTCATTGTTACCAGCAAGACAATATTATGTTCCTAATGTGCACTGGGGAAGAAAAACAGTTGAGGATCACCTATCCTCAGCACCAAAGATGTTCAAGCCAGCGCCCCCGAAATGAGTGATTTACTGCTGAACCTCATGTTTCCAGAGGCTTAGAGGTATTATGTGAAGAACTCTAAGACATGGTTGGAAGCCTCGGGCCAGCATCCTAATTCTGCAGAAACCCTAAGGCACACCCAGGGACTGAGCCTAGAACTCCTACTGGTAGGTTGGTTGGATTCTCCACTATACCTGACTTGTCCTAAGGCTCTGGTAATGAAATGTAACATGTTCCCAATCAATCAATTAGGTAATAAGCATTCAGAACACTGATTCTGTCCCATGGTCCATAGGGGGAAAAAGATTCACACTTAAAGCAAATAATAATTTTAACCATACATTTGGTTTTATACAATATTAAGTCACTTTTAAAAATAAGCTATGAACTAGTTTCTGTTTTGTTTCATTTTAGTAGCTAATTAGTATGTGACCATAATGATGTTTCTACTGTACTGAATGATTATGTAATTATCATGCCAGGAATCTATTCAAAAACTAAATGTGTAGAGTATATAATGAGTATAATGCTGCACTAAGAAAATAATTTTTTTAACATAATTAGAGATTCACACCATGTTCTTCAAATGCACCACAGCATAAATTCACCTGACATACACACAACTCTTATCCACACACATGATAAGTAGAGTACAGAGAAAGTATAATCACATATGAAATATTTTCCTTCGGAAATAAGTACACAATCAAAAATTAACTAAATGTTCGGTTTTATTATCATGTTTGGTAGTCAAACAATTGTTATTCTGCCAACATCCTTAAATAGGAGTCCATTTAAACCCATCTGCTGTGAATGAAATCAACGGGTTTCAATATCCTAAATATCAAACCCAGTTATTAGAAATTAATAATATCTTGTTCACACTAAAGAAGAAGAGAGCAATAGTTATAACCTAAAAATGGGGATAGTTGATTTCTATTTCATCTTGTAAGTGACTATATAGGAAGCTCTGGACTTTGCCCCTTTGATTTTCCCCACCTTCACATTAGCTTCCTCTGGGTCATCTATCACCAGATCACGTCCAGACTCCTCGCTCTCATCATGACAGTAGGACCCCTTAACTTGGGGCTTATAGCAATGATTTCAGTTCTCTGTGTACAAGGAACAACCCTCACCTCACAAAGGCAAAGCATTCATATGTGACCTGTCCATCAAATTAGATGACAGATTATGATCTACTTTGAGAGAAAAATGAAAGGACATCTACATACTCATATCAAGTTGGGAATCATTTTATGGAAGAACCAGAATTCCATTGTAAATGTGGTTCTTATGTCCTTGAAGACTCCATCGAGGATGAGTCTATTTAGAATTCCTTCACCCCTTTTGTAGAAATGATTCATGCCATGTTAAAAAAGACAACTGTGGCACTCTGTCTTTAATGCAAATCTAATCGGTGCTGACTATGAATGAGAGTCTATGAGTAAGTGGGCTTCCTTCTAGGACTGAATGAAAGGCAGAGCAGGAGTATGCCTCGTGGTCAGAGTGACCTTGGAGTTACCACTTAGCATGCTTCCTGTATGCGGGGCCCAGCCCTCGGGCCTGTAGAGGCAACTTATAATGCACGGCCTTTCATCTTTCCCACTGGACAGGTAGGAAACTGAGGTTAGGTATGCAGGCAAGACTCCCAGCAAAAAGTGGCACAACAAGGCTTTGAACCTGACTTTACTCCCTTAGCCATCTTCTTAACCATTTTACTCACAGGTCAAGCTTATAAGCACCTTTTTGACAATTGGGGTTTCCTGTGGAGATTCCCTTAGTTCCAAATTCACATGTGAAGAATTTTCTCTCCTCACTGATGCCAAAGATCCCCATGGAGTCTCTTTCTTTGGAAAGTTCAGGATGCACAGAAATCTATTTGCATTTCAATATATTTGTAAAAGAAAATTTATAAACTGGAACGGTGGAGCAAAAAATCTTGCAATATACACTAAGGAGCTCATCTTATGACCTCACAATATGAGGTAAGCAAAGCAACATTCAAGGAAAACATTTAAAAAGCATTACATGTATTTATGACTGTGCAAGGGAGATAAAAATGAGAAGTATCTGCGAATCTCCTTTAAGTGCAGTTTAATATCAAGTAAGCAAACACTAGGTTATATGAAAAATCATTGTAACTTCATGTGCCTAGTATAGTAGCTGACACAGAATAACATTCAATAAATAGTTGATAAATGAGTAATGCAGAAAAATCCCCTAAGAGAATGTTTCATTTATAAATAATGCCTACTAGTATGGGGCTTTATGATTTTAGCAGATCATTTTCATTTCAGTTATTTTACTTCCACAAAAAAATGCTTTTAAGGTCAACAAGCTGTACCCCTTTTCAAAGACAGGAGAAATGACAGATCCAAGATCACAGATAAAGTTAAGAATAAAGCAGACTAGATCTCAGTGTGTCTGATTCTTAATCAGTGACAGCATCGTAAAAAATTCATTTCAAATAAGAATGTATTCATCTCCCCTAAGTAGTCTCATTAGTGGAATATAATCTGCTAGAAAAGTAGCAAACTTAAAGAATTTTCTGAATGTGGAAATACATAGATTTATATGTTTATAAAAATTTCAGTTTCTAGACTTGAAGTCTTTCTGATATAGTCCACCTAATTTTCTCGGTTTAAAACACAATGCTTACCATGCTCGTCGTTAGGGAGAAAAGAATCAAGATACTAAAAACAAAAAGCCATTTTGAGACATGGCAGGTCTCAAAAATCACGGAGTTCTGTGATTCTTGGGTTCTGGAATCAAACACCTTCAAGCTAAAAACCCCACCATGGGCCTTAGAATTTAAGAGGCTTTCGGCAAGGTATTTCATTTCTCTAAGCCTTAATATCCTCATCTATAAAATCAGGAGACAAGATTCTTATTGGGGTTAAATGATAAAATGCTTGGAAAATCACATAGCTCAGACCTGACACAAAGTAGAATCTCAATAGCAATTAAATCTCTCCTTTTCTTTACAAAATCTTCCTGGCGTCCTGACCAAGGACTCTGGTACATGAATCACACTGGGCAGTGGAGTGAATGTTTTAAT